TTTTTTTTTTTTTTTTTTTTTTTTTTTCTTCACTTCTTTGAGCGATATCATTTTTGGGGTGTGGGGGGGAAAGAAAGACGACATGGAGACCCCTGTGCACAAACAACCTTCGCAAGCATTTACCTGTTTGTTGTCCCCCCAGTAGCCATTTTTCGCCTATGTGCGGTATTAAATTAGGGCACATCACACAATGCTGCAGCGAGGGAGTGGATATTGTTCTACCTTTTTAAAAGTGGCGTCGTTTCGGTGACGCTGAATTGAACGGTCCGCCAGGGAGAGGCCATAGGCACTCAAATGAATACGTAACAAGGTACCTCATGCACATGTAGGTATATGTATATATTTATATATGCATTTTTTTTTCTTTGTCCTCACCCCATTCGGAATACCGGGGGCAAACAAAAAATGACACATAGAGTTTTTTGTCAAATGAGGAGACCATTTAACCGTGCTGGCTACAACACGGGCAGGTGACAATCCATGTTACAGTATCACATGGGGCAGTGTGATGTCTGCACCAGTGGTCACCACCCGGCCCACCTGCTCTTAGAAGTGATGCAGTTCGCTTGAACACTGTGTAAAAAATTTTGTAGAAACGTTTTTCGAATCGGTTGATAAACCATTTAAAAGATATGGACACACGCAAGGGTGGGTGTCTGTCATGAGAGAGTTTTTGTTTTTTTTTTTTTAAGCGAGCACGAAAGGGCCCAGATATAAAAACGTACGCACATGTACACATGTGTGTGTGTTCAAACAAAAAAAGGTCCACAGGGAAGGATATCATGTGGGGGTAGAAAGAGAGAGGGAGAATGGTCGGCGGGGGGGCCTGCACCGCACAAATGTAAGGGTGCAAAAAATGCAATAAAAAAAAAGAAAATGCACATGCGGATCGGGATGAAGAAGAAGGTGAAGCCCAAATGTAGCAACACGCATGGTATAATAATGAACGGGTAGAAATTTTATAAAATGCAAAAAAAAAATAAATAAATTAAAAAAAAAAAAAAAAAAATGGGATCAAATGGTGGAAAGTTGTTTTGGGTTCATCTCTCGCCTTTCTGTATCTTCAGCGCCACCACCGCAATATGCCACACTAAAACCTGCGTGTAATTTTGTCCTTGCAGTCGCAAACCAAGTTCACGAGGTCACTAAAGACGGTGTTAACATTATTCTTCATATTGTAGTAGCTGAATATATCAGTGTTAGCCAAGCTGTACTCTCCAAGCATTTTACACATGCCTTTTCGTTTGTCTCCACTCAAACGCATCCCATACGAATCTGAATCTTCTACCAGATACTTTTCAATGTAGTATGTTTCTACTTGTGCGTTGAAGCGAATTCTTTTATTTGCTTTACTTTTTATTTGTGTGTTTTTATTTGAAAGTGGGTAGGAGGAGCTATTCTTTAATATGGGTTTGGGGAATGTCCTCTCCAGCCTTATACAAGTGGCACAATAATCGCCAGTGATGCCACTCGGTTTATCCTCCTGTGGGTAGCTCAATTCACTTCTACAGTGAGCACATTTGCGAGTCTTTTTTTGAAGACCCATTGTTGAATTGTCACCTGTTAAGGTGAGATTATTCTTGGGGCTGAAAAGGGCATCTGTCAGGAGGGTATACAATCGGAGGTAGTTTTGTTTTGTTAGGTAATTGCGCAGGTCGGCCTCTTCCTCTGCCTGCTCTAAATTATTGAGGCTGCTTTTCCTGCCATCACTAACTGGGTTGCCTGCTTCACTGCTATCTTCGCTCCTCACACTGATTGACTCTCCCTCGGAAGCAGTGGATCCGCCGCTAGGAGTGCAGTCCTCACTTGCACACTCATCACGTCGTTCGAAGGTATTCATGTCAAATTTGATTCTATCCCCAGACGTGGTGGTGTTGTCTTCATCCCCACTGGGTGAATCCCTTCTTCCGTTTCTCTTCCGTCCATCAGCAGATTTTCTCCTTTTGCTTCTAATAATTCGAATAAACTTGAACAAGCTGCGGAGGCCTCTACTGGCTCGCCTACTTCCTCGTGCACCTTTGCTTCCACCTCCCTCACTGTTACTAACTCCTCCCTCACTGCTAACCCCTCCTTCACTGCTCACCGAGACGTCACAACTGCTAACGGAAATGTCCCCACTGCTGACGGAAGCATCACCGCTACTAACAACGCAGTCACTTCCAACCCCCCCATCACTACTAAGCGCAACGTCGCTGCCAGCCCCACCATCACTGCTGGCCGAACCATCACCACTAGTAACAGAAGCGTCACCGCATGCGCGTTCACCGCCAGTACCCACAACAGAGGAACTACCCCCCCAATGAGCACGCGCACCATTCCTCTGAATATACCTCAACCTGCCATTTCGTTTAGAAGTCCTCAAGTGGGCGCCGCCATTTTTTAAAAAAAAATTATTCACAATTTTCCGCACCTGCTCAATGATAATCAATCGAGTCAGCACAAGCAATCTGCTAAAGAATCCCACAATGGTTAGGATGATTAAGAAGAAATAATAAATCTTAATATACCTGTACAGCTTTCTAGGCATATCCATGAAGCTAAAGGTAAAATTCTTCAGGTAGAACAGCACGATCAGGTAAAACAAGAGCGTGATGTGCGTCTGCAGCGCCTTTTCTTCCATTGTGTTTGTTAGCAGCGGGTACGGTTCAAAATGGGGCGAATGGTGCGTAAGGGGCGTAAGGGGCGTATGGTGCGTAAGGGGCGTAAGGGGCCTATGGTGCGTATCGGTGGTAGTTGCTGCAATGCGTGCTGCTAGCTTGGTAGGAACAGACGTGTTTATAAAAAAAACACTTCTTCCCGACTCGTCTTGTCCGCTTCTACAACTGTCCCTGTCTCTTCCCGTTATATCAATTCTCTCCGCAACACATATGCGTTACACATGTGCGCACAAAGGGACCCTTCTACGCACAGGGGAACAACAAAATGCTGTGCTTGGGTGCTTCATACGCTGAACAGGTACTCTCCGCCACGTCCCATGCAGTGTCATTTTTTTTTTTTTTTGTTTGCGCTAAATGGAACTTGAATCGGTCATGTTTTCTCTCCACGCGGAGGGGGTCTTTGGGGGGACAGCAAACGAGGCCTACTTACAAATGAGCTGTTTCTTCAGTTTCTTCGTAGGGTTGAATGTAACACAGCACACTTTATTATCACGATGGAGCGTGTACACCTTTAGTGATATTAACCCCGGTTGGTTAATTTTTTTTTTTGCATCAGATCCTTGTTAGAGTTTACTGGGGTTGCCTTCTTTCACTACTTATGCTGCATACGACAATCTCGTAGGACATGATACGTCTGGCGTTCCTTTAATGAACTCTTCCCCAGCCTCTCATGTGTGACCACTATGCAGATGTGCCTTTGCAAGAATATTTTTTTCCCACGCATGTACCTGTGCACACATAGCATGACTTCTCTTGTATCAATTCGCTTCCACGGTCATTTTGTGGGTAACGATTTTTCTGCCCCACGGCTCCCTTCACACGTGTCTCCACACAATTCAGGCGCGTGAAAAGTTTTCTTCAACGTTAGGTTCTCTGCGATATGCACAACAACAAAAGGGGTCCGGTTCAGCTTCCTTTTTTCCTGTCCTCACAATATGCCTTTGATCACGTGGCAGGGGTTCCTCTGTGCTATGGCTCTGTCGTGCTGTATTTTTCCTGCGTCACTTCTTGTACCTCGCAATGTGGCAACTTGGGCGCGCCGCCACTACTCCCCACTGGTCCAGTCCGGCAAGAGACCTTACGTTATTTTATATATATCCTCGCGCTGGGCCAATCTCGCAGGGGCAGTTATTATATATATAAATATGCTAGGGGGCCGCCACTTTTACCCCGTAGCAAACTTGTATAAAAAAAAAAAAAAAAAAAATTAAATACCTCTAACAGACGGCGACTATAAATATATTTCCGTTTCGAGGTTTGGTATTTCTTAAACATGCTTCTTAACAAAAAGGGGGAATATATATACAGAGCAACACTGCGCCACTTACCGTCTGGTCTAAGCAACACTGGTGTTGATATGAAAATCAATGTAGGGCGAAGAGGCGCTATTATATATGCTGCTCTACGCAAGTGTACATGCCCCTGTGTAAGTCACATGAGTTAAAAAAAAGGGGGACACGTTAACAGCAGCTTCTGCGAAAGGGGGACAGTCCCGCATTCCGCCTGGCTGGACGAAAAAACAGCAACGCTGGGCGGCGCTTGTCATGACTGCGCGTGGCATAACTGCGCGCGGCAACGGTCAGCTGTTGCAAAAGGGTTGCTCCAACATGGTTACTTCAAAACGGTTACTTCAAAAATGCTTCTGAAGTAATATGCTACTGCTCCCAAAGTCGTTCTTCCGACATAACGCGAAATGGCGAAATGGCGAAATGGCGAAATGGCGAAGTGGCAAATGGCAAACAGTAACATTTATGCAAACGGCAATAGCGCGCGTGGGAAGATGCCCCAATCGCGCGAGTGGACAGTCGATCAATCTTTGACGTACGCTCTGCTCGCAAAAGTTTGCAAACGATCACCAAAGATGTTTTTTTACAGAAAAAAAAAATTTCGTACAAATGTCCCAAAAAAAAAAAAAAAAAAA